GCCCTATGCCTGCTGGCCAAACCGGTGCTGACCCAAGCCAGGCTGCTGGTGGCCTCCTTGGCCACCTGGGCACACCCTGGCTCATCTCCAGCTGGCTGTTGACCAACCCCCAGTTTCCAGACCCTTCCCCCAGCCTGGAGTGTCTCAGGGGCTTGTCGTGGCCCCCGCTCTGCCCCTGCAATTCCCCATTTTGGGGAGGGCAGGAGCGGGGCGACAACCCTCGGCACGGTGCGGGGGCCCAGGGGACGGCGGGCAGTGACCTTTCCTCATGAAAAGAGTCATTCAGTCCTCCTGGCAGTGCCCTTTCAGCCTGGCAGTGCCCTTTCAGCCTGGCTCTGCCCTTTCAGCCTGGCTCTGCCTTTGTCCTCGCAGTGGGCCTTCGGCGTCACCATGTGGGAGATCTCCACGCGGGGGATGACGCCCTACCCAGGGGTGCAGAACCACGAGATCTACGAGTTCCTCTCCCGGGGGCAGCGCCTGAAGAAGCCCGAGGACTGTGGGGATGAGCTGTGAGTCGTGGGGCCCTGGCCCTGGGGGCCCAGGGGGGACCCAGGGGTGGCCCCCTGCCCTGCTCGCCCTTGGCCCAGGCGCTCGCGTGGCTCCCGGTGCTCCTGTGAGGCACCAGAGCTGCTGGGGCCCTGGTGGGAAGCCTCCAAAACGGCCTCACTAGACACCATTCTGCCCTCCCCGTGCTCCCACCTGCTGCAAACCTCCTCTCCAAGTGGAGCACGATGCAAGACTGAGACCAGGGAGGGGGTCTCCTTGTGCCTCACCCCCTCTGTTTCTCCCACAGCCCCCAGAAACAACCATTCTTAAACACTGGGTTGAAAGAAAACGGGGAAGGATTTAACCTCTTCTTCCCCCGACAGGCAGGGAGCCTGCAGCCTGCAGCTGAAGTCCCAACAAATGCCCTGGGGGGAAGCAATTCGCTGGCAGGGCTGGGCAGTGGGAAGTGCTGAGGTCACCTCACGGGGCCTGTCAGGATGGGAGCAGTGCCCTCTGCAGTCCGTGCTGGAGGAATCCCATTTTTAGTGTGTTATTTGTTTATAGTCATAGAATCCTTGAGGTTGGAAGGGACCTCCAAGATCATCAAGTCCAACCCTTGAGCCATCAGGGCTCTAAAGTCCTCTGCTAAAACAGATCAGAATCTGTCAGGGTTGGAAGGGACCACAAGGATCCCCCAGTTCCAACCCCTCTGCCATGAGCAGGGACACCTCCCACTAGATCAGGCTGCCCAGAGCCTCCTCCAGCCTGGCCTTAAAGACCCCCAGGGATGGGGCCTCAACCCCCTCCCTGGGCAACCCATTCCAGGGTCTCACCACTCTCATGGGGAAGAACTTCTTCCTTATATCCAGCCTGAATCTGCCCACTGCCAGCTTTGCCCCATTCCCCCCAGTCCTGTTGTTACTCAATAACCTAAAAAGTCCCTCCCCAGCTTTCTTGTAGCCCCCCTAAGATCCTGGAAGGCCACAATAAGGTCACCTCGGAGCCTTCGCTTCTTAGGCCAGGAGCTCTTGGCTTGCAGTGCTCTTTTCCACCCCACAGAACACCCCGTAGTGACTCGGGGCCCAGCAGTGCCTGCACTCCATCAATCTGCAAAGGGAAAATGTGGAAACCTCAAAACTTTGTATTTCTGAGCAGCTCTGAGCTCTCCTGAGTGTCCTTCCTGAGTTTTCTACAGGGGTCAGGGCAGGGATCTTCCCCTTGAACGGGGCCCTGGGGAGCCTGTCCCTTGAGTCCTGGGTTCAGAACCAGACTGATTCTATCATTTTATGATTTTTATAATCCTATCCTCCACGATAACCCTGGTCCTCTCCTGACACCCAGGTATGAAATAATGTCTGCCTGCTGGAGAGCCGACCCCGCCACCCGCCCGACCTTCTCCCAGCTCAAGGCCCAGCTGGAGAAGCTTCTGGAAAACCTCCCGGGACCAGGCTCTGGAGACGTCATCTACATCAACACCAGCCTGCCCGAGGAAAGCCCGGACTCCACCCAGGATTCAGGATTCCCCCAAGCAGACTCTGACCTGGAGCCCGGGGATGGGGCCGAGGCCGAGCCCGGCTCCCCCGGCGCGGAGGCGGCACTGGTGGCCGTGGACATCCACCACGACCAGCCCTGGGGGAACAGGTACATCCTGGAGGAGCAGCTGGGCGGCCCCTCGGGGCAGCAGCAGCAGCAGGAGGAGGAGCAGGAGGAGGAGCAGGAGGAGGCCTACGTCCCACTGCTGCCCTCAGGCTCGGCCTGGACCCGGGCCAGCACTTTGCCCGTCGGCGCCTCGCTCCTGCCGGAGCCCCCGGG